CTTAAAGTTGTAGAGATACACACCCAACATCTGACCGCAACAAGGTGGTATGTTGCGGGACGGTACGGGTTTCACACCGTGAGTCATGATGTGGAAATATTCCTCACAAGGCACGGCGGGTCACGTCACGAACCGCACAACGAGACACCGCACTCAACAGTGCTACACCTAAGGCGCGCCCAAAGCAAAATCATCAGCACCCCCCCTCCCCCCCCCCCCTCGGCCCCGCAAGGCCGCCCGTCTGTCCACGCCCCGCAGCGTCTCCAAACCCAAACCCCGACCCTCTGTCCAACAAAAACGCCTACCGTTCAGCTGCAGGAATCGCATGAGCTCCGCTATCTGCGTGCCGATGCTGCAGTAGATCGCGTGCCTGTCCGTCTCCCGAGCTATAATCCCGCCAGTAGCAGCATCCCCCCCTGCTCCGTTGCCAATAAAGAACGCGTTGCCGCTGTTGCCAGCACTGTTGCCGCCCTTTTGCGACGGCCGCAGCTGCCTGGCATCGAGGAGGAGCTGCGCTAGCTCGCCCTGCTTGGACAAAAAGAAGAGCACCACTTTCTCCACCTGAAAAAAATAAAATAAACATCGGACAGGTGGGGGGGGGAGCCGGACGATTATTTTCGTGGGGAAGACGTGGGGTTTCTTGTACAGTAGCATCTCCCTTCGGTTTCATTCCAAGTCTCTTTTCTCCTATCACTGCCATGCAGGACTGACACACATTGTGCCCAAGGGAAAATGTCCAAGTCAGGAGAAAATCTGTGCACCCAAGGAGACTCGAACCGGCATCCTGCTGACGCCATGTGCGAAGGTGCACCGATTCTGGTAAAAGTCAATCAACGGGTACCCTGCGAATCGGGTCCTCCTTAACACGTACGTACGTACGCGCCAGACGAACGTGCACGTGTGTGCGGGCCACCACTTTGGAAACGCTCCTTTCAGAACATGCTCCACATTCTCATGACGCGGTGACTTGTTTGTGTCCTTGTTGAAAGGGCGTGTCTTACGACGTCCCTTTGCTGGACAGGGAACAGACAACAGACAACTCGGAATTCCCTGTTCTGTGCCGTGTCGTTGTGTCCTAACGTCCTATTTAACATACAGTCGTGCTCCCGGTTTAGCGGGATGCCCTGAATAGCGGTCCCAAAATCTCGTGGCACGGCTGCACCTCCGTAGTCAAACTACTATATAACTGTCGATCAGGTTTAGCGGCGATGCTCTCAATATTGTAGCGGTTTTAACATTTTGTGACACTATGGACCGCTAAACCGGGACTGTACACCACATTTCAGCACGCGTGTGCGTGCGGCCCGCAGGCACTCAAAGGCATCAAGTACAACCATTGGATACAGCAGAAGGACGAGTGGGCGGGTGGGGGGTAGAGGGGGGTGGTGTAGGTAAATTATTGAGGGAAGCTGTTGACGAGCGCACATCAAACACATGCGCTTGGTATCGGCTAAAACAGGCGGTGCTCGTCATGCAATCCGCACCCTCGACAGGGTTTTGGAAGGCTTGCTTTTTGAGTTAGTTGTGGTCCACGGCAGCTTGCCGTTCCTTCGACACTTTTATGTTCCCCCACACAACGGCTACACGAGCATCCGCCGCTGCTTTTTCGCATGGGAGACGCCTGATGATGGTGGCAATGCCTATACGGCTTGAACTGGTAGCATGCAGCACCTGTGGCAGCCACATGCCCGAGAGTGATCACACACATCCCACCACGTCCTGAATTGCCACCGAAGAGCACGTGTTCCACGTTCCCCATGGCCTGTTGGATAAATTTCTAATTTTAATACCCTCACTTGTTGTTGTTGTTGTTGTCTTCACATTGCTCAAACTCGTGTCAGTTGCTAATCCCAAAATCTAGCAAACTCTCGAGCCCGTGGTCACAAAAATGCTATTGACAGAGCCATCAGAAGATCTAAAGAACGCGCCCACTAGCAAGGAAAGGGCACACAAGCCCGAAGAGGTACGCCTACACATCCCTGCAGCACGTTTGCGTGCCCAAGACTGAACTACACGCCCAGACACCACACTCGACTACAGTAGCATCACCCCCTCCCCGGCCCCAAACTTTACCAAAATGAATGTTTGTCGACTACAGGGCGGAATGTTGTCTGGAGTGTTGTCTGAACATCAACACCATCATGGTAGGCACGGTATAGGCTCGGGGCTGTGGATTAAAATTATTGTGCGGCGTAGCTACCTCAAACAGGGAACGTATGGCAATCTTGTTTCCAGGAAAGTTATTTGGTGTGGCTGGCCAACCAAACGATAATTCCGAGTTCCCTGTTCTTCCGTGTTCCATGTCCAGAAAAGGGACGTTATTTAGTACACGCCCGAAGGGCAAGAATGTAGGAAAATACAGCAGAACATGTTCCATTTTCATGACCGCGCGAAGCAGGAATAGTTTCAAAAATCTCTATCGCTTACAGCAGTATTTAGTATATACGTCGAACAAACCAATGCAACAGGATGGATGCAAAACAAAATCAATCATAAAGCCAATACAAACATACTGTACATGTCCTATTTGTAAATAGTTTGTGCCCTACTGCTGTACGTACCTCAGAATCGAGCGTCGCCTTGAACTTTCCCTCCACCTCGTCGACGTCCTCGCCCACCACCAACGAGTAGGTGCTGGTAAACCTTTTCCTAAGGGATGATCTCGCCCCCCCTCCCCCCCCCCCCCCGCC